CTCTGTGCTTCTGACTTTATGTATCATTCTTATTCACTCTACAGTTGTCTTCAGGGGAAAAAGTAATAGAATTATTACTCAGAGTGGGCTCAAATGCAAATTCATGCCCCCTTACGTCAACTGGGCCCTCTTAGCTACATGGTCATCCTTATGCGTTCCTCTCTTTGGTGACTTTTCCCACATTGATACCTGCTCACAGGCCACGCTCACCTTCCAACTCACTAACCCGAACATCTTCCTCTTCCTCTCCCTCTCTCTTTCCAAGGCAGCAGGTCATCCACAAGCTCCTGCATCGTATCTTTTAGCACCGGAAAATTCTACGTGCCTCATTCACCTCAAGGGAAGTGATGCCATTCTCTCTTTCTCAAAATTACTCCTCCACTTGTTTTTTTTCACCCCATTCCACCCCTCTTTCCCCAGGATCATCTGTGTTTCATATTTACCCTTTCATATCTTCCATCTCTTCTTCTCCACTGCTCCTTCCCTTCAGAGTATAAATAAACACACTGAGTTTTCTCATCTTAAGTAAGCAAATGAAACAAAACTCTTCTCTTATAGAGCAACAAACAATAGCAGATTATAGCTTCAAAATGCTATTGTACAATTGTAAAGACAAATATCCACTAGGTTTGAGTAGAAACTCCCGTTCCTTGCCAAAATTCATGCCTATCCCATGTAGTAGCTACCTAACTAGTTCCCTGCCTTCAATTTCTCCGTCTTTCAATCCAATTAACACCTGGCTGCCATGTTAACCTTCCTAAAAAATATAGCGTTGCATATAATATTTGCCTTCCAGGATGAAGCACACATTCCTTATGGAACTTACATGCATCTACTACAACCTGCCCTCTCCTCCCCACTAAAAAACTGCTCTTCACTCTATTTCCACATGAGTCTTCCACTCCACCAAATTTGAACACTCCACATAGTCTCTCTTCTGCATTGTTGTTCATACTTCCCTCCTGGAATGTGCTCCTACTTCCCTCTCCACCACCCCTTCCCTTAACCCTACGCTTTCTTCAAGCCCAACTAAACACCAAATGAGTTGGACGGTTGATAAATATTGTGAGTGTTTAGACAGAAAGTGGTCCTCACGGGGTTGGTTCTATTGAGAAAAACCTTTTGAAGGAGGAGGAAATTGAGGGTTTGAAAAACTACCAAAGTAAATTTATAAGGTCTACTCATAGGTGGTGAGTTGAACAGAAAGGTATATTTGGTATTTCCCCCCGTGGTACCTGGTAGAGGTTGGTGTTACTATAAATCTTCTCCCAGATTCGGTCATAGTTGCACTGATGGAAACCCTGGGAAGCCACGGGAGTGGGATGAGAGGGAGCCGGCCGGACTGTCTTTGCAGCGTGATCTTGCAGCACTTGCATTACTCGCTCGGGGCTGGAAATCTTGAGTAGAACACAGAGGAGAAGGAGTGGTTGGGAGAAGGGTTATTCCCTTCTTCTCACAAGAATTCGGTCATGTAAACATGAATAAGAAAGAAGCCCCAGGTGAGACTTTATTCAGTTTAAAAAAATCATGATTCCCTTAGGTATATTCATCCATTCAGCACCGTAAGTATTCAAATACACATCAGAGCACATTTAAAATTCTGTTACAACTCCCTAAGTACAAGTGTTGTGGCACCAATGAAGCACCTATCCATTTGGGGTACAAACTGTCTGCAGTTAGAAAGCTGCCAGATGGATGAGGAGGAAGCAGCTGGGTGTCTGAGGAAAGCACAGGCTTTGTAAGGACACGGACCTGGGCTTGCATCCCTGCTGGAATCCTGTCTTTTTAACACAAAGCAGGACAAGTCAACCTAACAAGGTCACTAATGATGTCTCTCCCAGGATCGCTGCAAAAATGCCTGGCCTGTAGCAGGTGCTGAATAAATGTCCTTTCTCCTCTTCTGAAGGTAAAAAAAAGGAATGATAATTCCAGAGCTAAACTTCTACTTCAGTGATTCACATATTATTGTATTTTAATCATTTTACTATCACTAAACCTCAGAGATCATTTAGGCCGATCCCTATCAAAATCTCAATGGCTTTTTTTTTTTTTTTAGAATAGAAAAATTTATCCTCAAATTCATATGGAATCTCAAAGGACCCCAAATAGCCAAAATAATTTTGAAAAAAAAAATGGAATGACTCACATTTTCTGATTTTAAAACATACTACAAAGCTACAATAGTAAAAACAGTGTGGTACTGGCATAAATTACACAGACCAGTGGACTAGAATACAAAGCCTAGAAATAAATCCTCAAGTATATAATCAAATAATCTAAGACAAGGGTGCCAAGACCACTCAATGGAGAAGAAACAGTTTCTTTAACAAATGGTGTTAGGAAAACTGGATATCAACATACAAAATAATGAAGTTGGACCCTTATCCTCTACCATATACAAAAATTGGCTCAAAATGGATTAAAATCTAAATATAAGATCTAAAACTATAAAACTTTTAGTAGGAAACAGGGTAAAAACTTCATGACTTTGAACTTGGCAATGATTTCTTAGATATGACCCCAAAAGCACAGGCAAAAAAAAGAAGAAGAAAAAGTGAAAGTGAAAGGAGACAAATGTCACTACATCAAATTTATAAACTTCTGTGCATCAAAGAATGCACAATTAACAGAGTAACAAGGAAACCCATGGAATGAAAGAATATATTTACAAATTATACATCTGATTAATATACCCAGAACATATAAAACACTCCTACAACTCAACAAAAACAACAACATTCCTAACCGGTTTGGCTCAGTGGATAGAGCGTCGGCCTGCAGACTCAAGGGTCCCAGGTTCGATTCCGGTCAAGGGCATGTACCTTGGTTGCAGTCACATCCCCAATGGGGAGTGTGCAGGAGGCAGCTGATCGGTGTTTCTCTCTCATTGATGTTTCTGACTCTCTATCTCTCTCCCTTCCTCTCTGTAAAAAAATCAATAAAATATATTTTAAAAAAAAAGAAAAAAGAAAAACAACAACAAAATACACAAATTACCCATTAAAAAAATGGGCAAGTCTGGCCAGTGTGGCTCAGTGGTTGAACATCAATTTATGAACCAGTAGGTCACATGTCGTATGTCCAGGTTGCGGGCTCGATCTCCATTGTGGGGTGTGCAGGAGGCAGTCAATCAATGATTCTCTCTCATCATTGATGTTTCTATCTCTCTCCTTCTCTGAAATCAATAAAAATATATTTTAAAAAAATTTAAAAAATAAAAGAAGAGCATTCTGACATATTCAACAACCTGGATAAACCTTGAGGACACTATGGTGGGTAAAATAAACTAGTCAATAAACAAAAAGACAAATATTATGATCCCACTAATATGTGGTACCTAGAGTAGTCAAACTCATAGAGACAGAAAGTAGAACGGTGGTTGCCGGGACGTGGGGGAGGGAGGGAGGAATTGTTTAATGGGTATATAGTTTCAGCTTTGCCAGATGAAAAGAGTTCTGGAGATGGATGGTGGTACTACTGAACTATAGAATGGTTAAGATGATAAATTTTATGTTAATTGTTTTTTACACAATAAAAATGAGATAATTTAGTCTAATCGTTTTGTTTCACAGATGAAGAAACTAAAACTTGAGGAGGTTATATGACTAGACCAATATTACTCAGAATCTAAAGTTGGACTATAATCCAACTCTTTTGACAATCGTTCCTCTCTACTGAAAGCTAACAGGATTATAAAAGTTTGGTAATTAGATTAGAAAGTCCCAAACAAAGCCTTCACAGTAAATTCATGGCTAGCATTTTTAAAAGGGAAAGAAAATTCCATTTTTCTGAGAACAATTTTAGTAAGAATTTTATCTATAAGGGAACATGGTTATTTTCTTACCTTCAAAAACTTTGCTTGGAGTTGCATTAATACATCTATTCTTCTCTGTTCTTTTAGTTTGGTCAAAAGCTTCTTTTGCCAAGGATCACATTTTGGCTTAATCTAGTGGATAAACATGTTCACATAAAGTTACAACATAACACAATGGTTCTCTACAAAAGTTGCTAGCAAAGAGATTCAAGGACTTTCTGAAAAGGAATCTGGCCTCAGCGCTAGAAAGTTGACTAGAGCATGTGAAGTCTTGGAAAGGGTCTGTGTGGGCTCACAATACTGTGGAGAAAGACAGCTGGTGCCTGTCTATGAGATGCAGTAGCTTCATCTGGGATGACAGAGCACCATCCATGAACAGAAGGGACCCTGAATCCCTCAGTGTTGGTCATTTTACTTGATTTATGGGGCAAGAGAAGTTCACTCACAAAGACTCCTTGTGATGCCACATGTAAAAACTTCAACTTTCATATTAATAAGCTATATTTCAAAAATTAGTTCTATGGCTAAATAAGTAAATCAATATGTGGATAACTCTCTAAATTTATATCTAGTTCTAAGCTCCAGGCGGTTATATCCAACTATCTCCTTGATACCTATACTTAGTTGGCCTGTGTAACAATCTAAAACAAAAGGTATGGCTTCCCCTACACCAACCACTGATTTGCTCAAGCCCCAGACTAAGGAGTAATGATTTCTCCCCTTTTCTCCCATCAGTTTTTATCACTTAAGACTTTTCCTTCCTTCATAATACAGGAATACATAATATATGAATACATAATACATGAGTGCATAATCCATGAATAATGAGGTTCAACTCCTCATTATTCATGGACTTCATGTTTGCAAACTTGCCTACTCACTAAATTTTATTTGTAACCCCAAAATTAATACCAGCAGAGCTTTCCTGCTCCTTCATGGACGTGCACGGAAGGGTGAAAATTTGAGTTGCCCAACTCCACATTTCCAGCTGAGGTCAAACAAGGCAATAGTCTGCCTTCTTATTTCAGCCCTTAGACTATAAATAAGTGTCTTTTTATGGTCTATTTAGTGCCCTGTTTTTATACTTTTGTGCTTTCTGTTGGTGATTGCACTGCTTAAATGGCCCCCAAGCATAGTACTGAAGCTCTGCCCAGTGTTCCTACGTATAGGAGGCAGTGATGTGTCTTACAGAAGAAACATGAGCTTTGGTAAGCTTCGTTCAGGCATGAGTTATAGTGTTGCTGGCTATGAGTTCAATGTTAATGAATCAACAACACATATTAAATAGTATCTTTAAACAGAAATGCACATAAAATAAGGTTATGTCTTGATCAGTTGCTGAACCTAACCCTGTATTTTTCCTATGAGCAATAGTTCAGTTTTAATTCCATAACATTTGTGGCAACTTTATGGAACATAATTACCAAATGACAAGAATGGACTATACTTATCATTACCTAAAATCATTTCAGTTAATCTGCTAAGTTGTTTATTGTTTGTGAATTGTGTATCTCCAGCACCCAGGCCCATGCCTGACACACAGTATGTAGTCAGTCAATAGTTTTGGCTGAAAAAGCTGGATTTACACAAATTAATTATACCCTCAAGTGTTATTCTTCGTTGTTGCCAATTAGGCAAGATGACTAACAACAAGATGTGAGGGTATCCAACAGAGAGAGGTACAGTAGGGGGAACTTCCAGAGAAGGCAGAGCAGAGTGGCTAGCTTCAACCTAGACCCGAGGCAGGAGGGAGCTGGGGGATCCTGGCCCACAAGACCAGATTCTCTGAGCTGCTTCTTCTGAGGAGACGAAGGCACTGACCCTATGTCCTAGGGGACAATTTTCTGAGGGAATGAGGAGAGGGGATAACAGGGACCTGATGACCAGGTGCTACCAGGTTGCCTGGCCTGCTTGGAGGGGACTTTGCAACACTGTTGACATCACTGACAGGCTGGTCACCATCGCCAAGGTCTACTTACCTTTATAAAGGAAATCCAGTTGGCTCTCTTTTTCAAGGCCATCCCAGGTCCTGCCAAACCCAAGTTCTCCACTTTAGCTTTCCCAATATCATAGTCAGGAAACGTTTGCATTCTCTGTTGCTCTTTGAAGATGCTTTGAAATTTTTGGGAAACCTAAACAGAATTAAGGAGAGAGTAGAAACCGGGGGAAGGGGACGAGGTGGGGGGGGGGGGCGGAGAAAGAGTGTTAGATTGAAGGTAATTTCAAAGACAGCTACTGTCTTTGAAACTAATTGATAAAACATGACTCTTATGACAATAACAGGACCTTAAACGTATATATCTGTGAGACACATGTATTCAGTCAACTCATTACTATAATTGTGTGAGTGTTTTCTTTGTTCTGAACATCTGCTCCAAAGATTGAGAATCATGTAATATGTTTCTTTGTAGGTATGTTGAGTCAGACCCTAAAAGAGGTCTAGATTTGGAAATGTATTCACTATTTCTGACCACATGGTAAACTAGAAAATCTCAGGGCTAGAGCCTGACCAGGATGCTGACCAGGATGCTGCTAGAGAAAAGGGTCCAGATACTAGGACCTGTTAAAACTTTTAAAGGTACCTCAGCCAACCCCTGCACATCTCACTTTCAGACTGAGGCTGTGACATAACTTCCTACTGCCAAAATGCCAGTACTTCTTCCTCCCTTCTCCAGGGTGGGCCAAGGCCCACCAAGCTGTGGTGATGCCTTCATCATTGCACTGGCCACACTGCATCATGATTTCCTCCCTACACGATAAGCTTCTAGAATCTCAAGAACCTACCGAATGGTGATGGTTGTACAACAGTGTGAATGTACTTAATGTCACTGAACTATACACTCAGAAATGGTTAAAATTGTATGTTATGTATATTTTATTACCCCCCCCACACACACACACACAAACACACACAGAATCTACCACAGTGCTGGCACATAGTAGGGCCTCAATAAAGGTGTAGGAATAACAGAGCAAGTTCAATGAGTCACAGAGTTAAAGATTCCTCTAGTTAATGCTGATGCCTCCCAGGCTGTGCTGTCCAATATGCTGTTCAACATTTAAATGTGTATTCATTAAAATTAAATAAAATCTAAAATGTAGTTCCTCATGTATGCTACTCACATTGCAAGTACTCAGTGGCCACATGTGACTAGTGGTTAACATACTCAAAAGACCAGATATCGGTCTTATCTTTCAGTGCAGGAAGTTCAATGAGACGGTGCTAGACTAGGGCTGGGGTGCAAACCTTTTCTTTTTATTGAATATAAAGCATTTTGCCAATAGGAAAGTTATTACAACACATTCTGAGAATTGCAGGCTTTTGGACACTAGACAACTCCACCATGCAAATTTGCCAAATCTTGGCTACATTTATATCATCTACTATGGACTAGAACCTACCTTTTACTTTAAATCCTGCAGAAAAATAAATCCTACAAACCGTCTGGGTTGGATAGTCCAGAGTGCCATTACTCTTACTGAGAGCAAGTTAAACTGCTAATCTAAATCTCACCTATTACTCTTTTTTTTTTAAATATATTTTATTGATTTTTTACAGAGAGGAAGGGAGAGGGATAGAGAGTTAGAAACATCAATGAGAGAGAGAAACATCGATCAGCTGCCTCCTGCACACTCCCCACTGGGTATGTGCCTGCAACCAAGGTACATGCCCTTGGCCAGAATCGAACCTGGGACCCTTGAGTCCACAGGCCGACGCTCTATCCACTGAGCCAAACCGGTCAGGGCCTCACCTATTACTCTTATATTTTATCACTCTAAAAACAATTGTGGCAGCATAAATATCCAACTTTGTGGCAAATACGAGTGTTGCCTTTCACGAATACCTATATTCAAATTAAGAAAGAGTCCATCAAGTACCAAGGAAAACAGTTCTATCTCCTTAGCAGCATCCCTCAGCTCCTCTACGTCATATGGGATATTGAAATGAGAGAGCAGGAGCCTCAGCTGAGGTTTCAGTTCTTCTGTTTCTGTTGTGTGTTGGGGCAGGACAAACGCAGCTTCAGTTCTCATTGGCCCTGAAAACATCCAAAATCAATAATATTAAGACCAATGAACACCAGACAGGAAGACAAGTGGAAGGGTCCTTTGAGGTAGCAGGAGGCAGGGCCTCCTCTGCGGTGGGAAGGGCATTCTGCTCCTTGGCCTTCTCTGCCACAATTACAGAGTGCACCCCACTGGGCCAGGGCTATTTGACAAACTCCTGGTTCTGGCTTTCTAGATGAGCTAGCCAGGCTCCTCCCCTCTCACAGCCGGCAAGAGAGACAGAACAGAGCCTCTGGGGAATGACTAAGTGGGAGCAGAACTACCTATGGTCCTTCATGGGAAACGAAGAGTACGATTCCTGAATTAATCAAAAAATTAGAAGAAGGTGAGAGTCTTCACCTCCTTTCACCTGCTCACTCCTACTCATCTCGACAAGTACCCAGTTTGGACTCTCCTCCTTTGAGACACCATCTCTGATTCCCCACTGGGTTAGCTGCTTCTCTGGATGCACCAGGTCTATGCCCTAAAGCAAACACATCACTCAGAGAATCCTGACCAGGTTTCGTAGCCATCTGGAACAGAAGGCAAGGGCAGGAAGACTACTGATTCAAATAAGGAACGTCTTTTAAAATCATGTAACCTTAAAAATGAAAGAAATCTTAAAGTGCACGTAATATGAAAGGTTCATTTTGGAGATGAGTAATTTGAGGGCAAAGGAGAGGAAATGACCTTAACTTGCAGGCCCACAGTGAGGCCACAGAAGAAACAGGTCTACAGCTCAGTACTCCTGACTTCAAGTTCATTGCTTTTTTCTCCCCCTCTCTTATTTGCTAGTTATAAAGATGGAGATAATAATGTCTAAAGAAAGTGTTTGTTATTTTTTTCCACCAGAAATGATCAAGTTAACACTTATTTATTAAGATGATAGAACTTTTTGGTATATAGAAAAATTTCAAGTGAGATCATGTGACACAACAGCGCCTGAACAGCACATGTGGAAAATCACAACCTCCTTCCTCCACATTACTCTCAGGAAAGAAGACTAATTTCTTACCTGAAACGCTGGTGTCCACAGGGCCTGGAGATGCAGACCCCTGGATGTCAGGATTGGTGTCCTTGGCGTGGGCCTTTTCATTTTCCTGACCAACCGCAGAGACTTCGTCAACAGCCACACTCAGCACGTTGGAGATGGGCACATACTGGAGGGCCTGCAGAAGGGCACAGCCAAGAGACTGCACGTCAACTCAGTTCTCACAGAAGCTCCCAGATGTTGGTTCAGGAGCAGCATTTTGCTTTGACAGAGGACAGGGAGGTGGAGGGGGGCCTCAGTAACCTGCCCAATCATGAGAAGCAAAATCTGGAGCTGGGAGGCCCAGTGCTATCACTAGCTCTGAGTGACCTTAACCTGTAGGCAGGTCTACATTGATCAAGCACCCATAATGGACAAGGTACTGTGTGAGGCGGTAGGCACACAAAAATGAATATGGCATGGGCTAACCTCAAAGAGTTCACACTCTAGTGGGGGACCCAGACTTATGAGCGGATCGTTATTATACCATGTGACTGGGGAGAGATAATTCAGAGGTAGACCCTCACAGTGACTGATTGGGAAAGAATAATGTCCAAGTGATGGTCAGGTTTCTGGTTTGGGTAACTCTGTGGTTGGTGGTATCACTGAGATAAGGTGTAGAGGAATAGGAAAAGATTTAGGTGGTGTGATCATGTCACTCCTTTTTGATGCCTCTACCCTGGACTAGGGACTCTCTTCTGTGACTCTCTTTAACTTGCACTTACACTTATTCTGTTTTTCAAGTCACATTGTATTTCCGTTGGCTATTCACTTGTCTATTTTACTAACACCCTGGGGCCCAATTCCTTTTCAGCAAAGACTATTATCTTCTCTACTTGGTCCACGACATGTACCTGGCATATATCAGGCCCTCATTAGATATTGCTGAATAAAAAGTAGATCTACATTGAAGAGCATAAATACTAAACAAGATGATGAAAACAAGAACTTACAGAGTGAATATGAAATAGTACAACAGAGACAAAGCTAAATTAGTGGTTCCAAAAGAAAAAGATTTCAAAGAAAAGAGCTAGTGATCCATTATTTTCCCGTCATTTGTAGAGAAGGTAGAATACAAAAATTGAAACTCCAAAGTTAGGTGACAGGTGTGACCAAACACTGTGCTGGCCATCCTGGGAGGGCACTGCATTATCACATAACCATGCTTTACGTGCCTGCAGGTAGTGGTGAATAGTCCTGAGTGAGTGCAGGTGACACACTAACCACTTTGTATAGACAGTCAGGTCTTCCTGTGTTACTAAGTTAGGAGGATTGTTTTTTCCCATAAGGAAGTTTTCTCGCGCAACAGACAATCTGTCAGCTCTCTGAAGGGCATCGCTGTACTCCTGCATAATGTAGGCGACTTGTTTCTGTTTAAGAGAAATGCAAAGACAGACCTTGGTTATTGCAAGCTTATTCTCTGGTGTCATTTGCTTCTGAGCATAAGTAATACAGTTTGGAGGCCAAATAAGGGGCTCTTGGAATATCAAAATTCTTTAATATTCTGAATTTGAATGACAAGGGTAGTGGTCACATTCTCAGGACTTTGAAGGAGGGAGACTCCAGTAAACAGTCAGTGCATAAGGATGTTTGGTAACTGGAGTTGGCGTCTTAGCCTTTTCCCTATAGTAGAGGAGGATAAGTCTATGAAGAAAAATTCATTTTCTATTATATAAAGTTCCTTCAAATCGTATTTGTAAAAATAGGAACCATTATCATCTGCCATAAGCAGAACAGGCATCCATTAGTTCCTTTCCCATCTTTAGCCATGACTTTTAAAAAATTGACAAGTTACACTGCTGGTGCGAATATAAATTGGTACAGCTATTATGGAAAACAGAATGGAGATTCCTCAAAAAAATAAAAATATATGGGTACATATCTGAAGAAAACAAAATCAGTATCTCAAAGATATTATTCAACCATGCAGATTACTCAACCATGAAAAAGGAAATCCTAATATTTGCAACAACAGAGAAAAACAAATACTGTATTATCTCACTTATGTGTGGAATCTAAACAAAAAAAAGTTGAACTCATAGAAGCAGAGTAGAACAGTGGTTACTGGGGATGGAGGGGGGAATGGGGAGATGTTGGGCAAAGGGTACAAATTTGCAGTTATATAGATGAATAAGTCTAAGGCATGATGACTATTCTAGTACTTAAAGATATGCATTGACAAGCCATCTTGTTTCATATGAAAAATAGCCCACAGGTTCTATTCATGGACTTCCTACCTTGTAAAGAGGGTAAAGTTGCTCCATGATCTTACTGTGCTGACAAAATCTCTTCCACCTGAGCATGTGTAAATATTTACTCAGGGCCAGCTGGGTAATTCTCTCTGTATAATGCTTGAACAACAACAACACAAATTAACACAGAATACAATTATAATAGGAAGACTGATTTAAGTCTTGAGAATACTCACATAAGAAAATCGGTCTCAGGTTATTTTGGAAAGATAGATTCTTCTACGTGCAGATCATAAAATTAAAAACCTAGCTCAAGATACCATTCACATTTAAATATAGCAAGTAGGCATTTCTCAATCTACATGACCTGTTGCCAACCCAACAGATTATAGTTTCATCATCAGTTCATGAACAATTTTAGCAATAACATAAAAGCCTGTAAATTTGCCTAAAGCTGAACTCAAAATGTCTTCAAAACAGAAGTTATGAGTGTAAAATACAAAGCATATTACAGGCAAAATTATAGCTTTTAACCTTACACCCGAAATTTTATTTATACTTAAAAGTAGTTAAATGAGCCAACTCTTTTTTAAAATGTTTATTTCTAAGAATAAAAATAATACTGGCTATGATGGAATCAGTAGGACAGACATACCCTTTCATCATAAACAACTAGAAAATAGGATAAATACACAAGGCAACTGCTTTCTGATGTGGGACAACAAGCAATGCAGGACTGCAGTTCTTGAGGGAAACGAATGAGATAAGCCCTACAGTAACCTTGGATTTCTGCTTGAGAAGGAAAAGGAATCCTAAGCATAGCATGATGGTTTCTCTGAGTTAAGAAGAGAGAAATGAAAGCTTGGGAAGTTGAGTCAGCTAAAATTTGCAGGGGAGAGTACTGGAGAAGAGGAAGTTACACAGAGAAAAGGTTCCAGAACTATGCATAGAGATCTCTTTCAGTTTTCTGCTATTAAGCCATGGATACAAAGGAAGAAAGAACTCTAAAAACAATACATTCTTATTTTAGAAAATTTAGAAAATATATAGAAGTAAAATGAGGGAATTCATTATCCTGCCATCCAAAGAAGTGATTGCTAACATTTTGGTCTATGTCCTTTAAGTGACTTATCTATACATTGCATGGCCATTATTATCACACACACACACACACACACACAGAGAGATACACACTTTTATTAACTAATATTACATAATACCATAAATATTCCTTATGCAAAAGATGTTTGGTGGGAGAACAATATTCTATCAAATAGCACACTGCTTTTCTTAACTTTTTCTCCTAGTATTAGACATGTGGGCATTTCCCTACTTTTATTAGTATAATGTTACAAAAATAATCTTCATGGAAAATGGTTTAACCCCATAATGTGAGTTATTTTCCTAAAGCAGAGTTCCAGAAATATCTCCCCTAGGTCAGCTAACAGCCTGCTGAGGACTGAAACTGTCTTAGTCAATGTATTGCCTCATCATACCAGCCCAGGGAAACAGTTGTTTAGTGACTAAACTTAACTACAGCATGGCTCTCTAACAAAGAGGAGCAAAGTTTTCTTTAGGGCCAATTCTCTTTCTCTTCTACACTAACCAAGTTCTGCAAACCACACATGCGGAGAAAATTCTACCCTGGCCCGAGGATACACCAGAAAGCCAGCTTTGTTCACACATTTCTACTAAATTCCAGATCTCCTTTTCAAATTGCAAACTCTTACCTGCCAGAGAAGCAAAGGTAAATTTTCCGGAGTGTACTCTCTTCTTAGGCAGGTCTCTAGCTCCCTCTGCATGACATCTGCTTGAATAACAAGAGGCTTTGACTCAGCCACCTGAAACCCGGGCAACAGAGCAGACAAAGGGACATAAGAAAACAAAACCATCAGTTTTTACACAAACATTATGCTGTTATACCTAAGTTTTTAAATAACAAAGTTTAACATCACAAATCAAGGAACCATCACAAAAATCAGGTAACCCTCAAAGCAGTAGTGGCCGGATCTGATGCAGCAGTGAGCTGAGTATTAGGCTGCTTTGCCCTCTATCAGTAACATCAGCTCTTTGTTTGCAAAAATAAACTTTTTCTGAAAAGGGTTTCCAACAGGTTAGCAAAATCTAACCTATTGTATTGAAACAGCTCACTCTCCTACTCACCTGCAAAGTTTTCTTTAGGGCCAGTTCTCTTTCTCTTCTATAGTAAGAAATGTCCTTTGGCATTTGAACAGAGCTGCAGAAAGATTCCATAATAGAAGCCATAATTATAGAAGCTGTAGTAGGTCAGGTTATAGGCCCTGATTGATCTGTAACTTCTCACAACTCTTTTAAATAAATATATCATATCATACTGGATTGTTGGGGCCAAGTAAAAGCCACATGCTTCTGTCTTAGTCAGAATCTCTTTGGTATATACCTCAGGCCCTAAACCTTTCCCCAGGCCAGCTTTTTTCTCCTTCTTCCCACACAAACAGTCTTTCCTTCTACCCCTATTTCCAACTCCAGATGCAGAGACAGGCACAGTGGTGGGGAGTCTTATTTCTCCCGCCTAAATTTCTTCCAGTAACTTAATCTCTAACAACTACACTGCTTCTCAGACCTATATCTCACCCCTAGTTGACAGATCAAACCAGTATCTTTTTTTTTTTAAAATATATTTTATTGATTTTTTACAGAGAGGAAGGGAGAAAGACAGAGAGTTAGAAACATCGATGAGAGAGAAACATCGACCAGCTGCCTCCTGCACATCTCCCACTGGGGATGTGCCCGCAACCCAGGTACATGCCCTTGACCGGAATCGAACCTGGGACCTTTCAGTCCGCAGAGGGTTGGTTGCACTATGGGCCAAACCAGTTTCGGCTCAAACCAGTATCTTATAATTTAAACA